CATCCTTCTAGTTGCTGTATGTGGGACGCGGCCTCAGCATGGCCGGAGAAGCAGTGCATCGGTGCGCGCCCGGGATCCGAACCCGGGCCGCCAGCAGCGGAGTGCGCGCACTTAACCGCTAAGCCACGGGGCCGGCCCTGTCTAGTACTCTTTCCATGATACCTGCCCCCAACCTTTAAGTGTTTGAAAGTGATGATGACAAATAGTAGCTGATCTTACTAAAGTATCTTAACTTGTCTTTTTGTCAGTTTTTCCTACCTAAAGAGATAATACAGTTGTTTCCCAGTGTGGATGTCAGAACTGGTTAATATCTGAGAGGGTGCTAAAATTGTTCCTATTTACACCTTTAATAATTATCTAGTCCAGTAATAGGAATAGCTGACATTTATTTAAACATTTATGTGCGCTTATATAGGCCCATATATGCCTGTGAGGTTGTTAGAGAAGTAGATTAACGTCAACAAACAGCTACTAAGTGGTGGAGCTGGGTCTTGAACCTAGTTTGGAAATGGAAACCACCATTCTCTCTGAGAATCTGCTGATCCTGAAGAACTGTTTATCGACTTAAAATTCAGTGGACCCTCTTCCTAAAAGAATGTATATATGCACAAAATTTTGCATATAACTTTTGGGGTGTTTATAGAAGTGATTGAGCCCAGCCCCTTCATTTTTTATTATTTTATTTTATTTTATTTTTTTATTGCTGTCTTAATAGTTTATAACATTGTGAAATTTTGGTTGTACATTGTTGTTTCCCAATCACCATATACATGTCTCCCTTCACCCCTTGTGCCCACCCCCCACCCCCATTGCCTCTGGTAACCACAATACAGTTTTCTCTGTCCACGTGTTGGTTTTTATTCCACATATGAGTGGGATCCTGCGGTGTTTGTCTTTCTCTCTCTGGCTTATTTCACTTAACATAGTACCCTCCAGGTCCATCCATGTTGTTGCAAATGGGACGATTTTTTCTTTTCTTGTGGCTGAGTAGTAGTCCATTGTATATATATACCACATCTTCTTTATCCAGTCATCAGTCGAGGGACATTTGGGTTGCTTCCACTTCTTGGCTATAGTGAATAATGCTTCAGTGAACATAGGGCTGCATAAGCCTCTTTGGATTGTTGGTTTCAGGTTCGTTGGATAGATTCCTAGTAGTGGGATAGCTGGATCATAGGGTATTTCTATTTTTAATTTTTTGAGGAATCTCCATACTGTTTTCCATAGAGCCAGCTCCTTCATGTTACAGGTAAACATATGGTGAACCCAAGAGAGTAAGAAAGTTATTTGCTCAAAGTCACACAGCTGAACTGAGACTAGGAATAAGTCTCTTGATTTCCAGTGGTATGTTCTTTTCACACTGTTTGAGCTTTCTAACATTTGTTAACTGGTAAAATAAATCACAGTTTTAAAAAAATAACATGCAAATTTTTGATGTATTTGAAAAAGAATACTATGAGGGAAACAAATAATTGGTTTGCCTGTTAAGCCATAATTTCCTTCTTCCTCCCCTTGAATTTTTAGTGTATGGTTTCAGCTTTAATTTTTTTTGCAGTATTTCACTATTCAAAAGATAAGAGGGGAGGGTGTTAGAAAGCCCTAAAATTTAGAGTTGAAACTATCAACATGAAATTTTTTCCTAGCAAAATTATTATACAGGTTACTGGGTTAAAATTAGATCTCTATAGGTTTGTGTAACAGTTTAATGATGATTTATTGAGTTTTACCTAATTGTAACTTGCTTCCCTGATTTTTGTTCTAGATGCTATTCCAAGTTCAGATCAAATTCGAATAACACCATCTTTAAAAAGCCAAAGAGGATCAGTGTGGACAAAGACAAAAGCAGCTTTTGAGAACTGGGAAGTTGAGGTGACATTTCGAGTGACTGGAAGAGGTCGAATTGGAGCTGATGGCCTGGTATGATAATTTCTGTAACTTAGAAAATGTATATAAATGCATATACCACTAGCCTCTAAATGTTCCCTCTTATATATTTACAGGCAATTTGGTATACAGAAAATCAAGGCTTGGAGGGTCCTGTGTTTGGATCAGCTGATATGTGGAATGGTGTTGGAGTATTTTTTGATTCTTTTGACAATGATGGAAAGGTATATTTGTTGTTAGCACTATTACTCACTTTAATATACTTGCTAACAAAGTTAGGCTTGAGAAATAGAGCTTATTTAACACTTTTGTCAGTTTAATAGTAGAGAACTCTCCAAGCTATATTTTTAGTATGATGGTTAGTCTTGATGTAGCTGGGAATTTACAAATATAAAGCTACGAGTACATGATCTGTCATACACCAACTTGAGGCCATAGTGCAGCCCTAACTCTGACAATTTGGCAGTGACCCCCCCCGCCCCCACCGTATGTGCTTAGTAACTTTGATGGAAAAGTGTGAGTCGTTTAGATGTACGCAGTAAAACCAGTAGTGTTAAGAAAACTTCAACAATTTTCATGAAAATAACCGTGTGCATTACTACTACCAGCTCACTTATTAATATCTTTTCATATGTGAATCACTTTTTTTGATCAGCCAGTTTCTCTAATGATCTCTCCTAAAACAGTTAAGAACAAAATGTGCTTACAAATTGGAAACATTAACTTGTGCTTTAGTAGCCTTAAGAATGATGATCTTTGTTTCAGTTGGTTGTTTCTCTACTGACTGTCAGAGGTCATTAATAATTTAAAGGGGAACTGTAATAACTCTGTGAATGCTGAGGCCGTGTTAGTCCTGTTCCTAAGCTCCCATAAGCCCACACTTGTGCCATGTTCTCGGTGTGTCCTCAGATATTTGTTGAGGTTGATGATTCAAAGACAGGGAGCATCAGTCTTTATTGAGGTGTTAAGTAACTGTTTTTGAATGATTATAAGAGTTTACTAAATATTTTCTAAATAAGTAGAAGTCTCTTCTAGAGAAGTAATCATCCAGAATGATCTAGAATTCTTTGATCTAAGGACTTTAGAACAAATACATTCTTTTTGTTTTTAGAAAAATAATCCTGCTGTAGTAATTATAGGCAACAATGGACAAATCCATTATGACCATCAAAAGTAAGTATGTGTTTTTTTACATTATTCCTGATTTCAGCTTCTTTTTGGAAACCTTATAAAATATATTGTTTCAGATCTGATCATTTTCCAGATGAAATAAGATTATTCCTTTTCTTGAGATGTATTTTGTAAGTTGGTGGAAAAGTCTTATTTTAATTTGGTTCTGTTTTAAAGTTCTTTCTGTGAACCACCTCAGATTTCAAAAATAAAAATGTGTTGTTTTATTTAATCTAAAATTATATAAGACTTGTGAAGGCTTATAAAACATTCCTGGTGGCTGGTCCAGTGGTGTAGTGGTTAAGTTCGCGCACTGCGCATCAGTGGCCCGGGGTTCGCAGGTTCAGATCCCTGGCGCGGACCTATGCACCGCTTGTCAAGCCATACAGTGGCAGGCGTCCCATATAAAATAGAGGAAGATGGGCACAGCTTTTAGCTCAGGGCCAATCTTCCTCAGCAGAAAGAGGAGGCTTGGCAACAGATGTTAGCTCGGGACTAATCTTCCTCACCAAAAACAAAACAAAACAAACAAACATTCCAGGCTTTTAGTGATGCCACTAGTCATGTTTTTTCGTCTTTATTAAAAGGGATCTTTCAAAAAGTTCGGAGCCTTGACCAAACTAATGACTAAGCAGTTTATGCCACCTACCCAACCTTAGTATTGCTTTACTTAAAGATGCTCAGTGGGCTACAAAGCTTCTCAGTGTTTAGTTTATTTATAATGTGTATGAATTAGGTATGTATAATTCTTATTTTTACATGTTTGTTGTGGGAGGAATTACATTTTAGCCAATCAGTGAACTGTAAAAAAATTACTTATCCACACTCCTTTTACTGTTTCCTACCTTAGTGATTTTTCTACTCTGGTAGTTCATCACAACTACCTGTGGAGCTGTTTAAAATAGAGGTGCCTAGGCCTCTTTGTGATTCTGCTTCAGTTGATTCAGGGTGGGATCTAGGAATCTGCATTTTTAAAAGCTCCATATATTGATTCTGATTCTGCCGTGGCATAGAGGACCACTGCCCTAGTCTCATGTAGAAGAGTATAACTTTCCCTGCCATCAGTGCATTTTAACATCGGGCTCCTGCTGTTATCCAGGGTCCTTACAGGAGTCACAGGGAAAACTCGTGGGTCAACTTTGTATCTTCTGAATAAATAACTTCAGATATCCCAAGACTGTGTCACAACTTGATATTATTTTAATCTTCCTGAACATTAATAATTTTAAATAGTGAGTTTTTAAATACTGAAAAGTTTTCTTAAGTTTCTTGTTTGTTTTCCTTTTCCCTCTTACTGTAGTGATGGTGCTAATCAAGCTTTAGCAAGTTGCCAGAGGGACTTTCGTAATAAACCCTATCCTGTCCGGGCAAAGGTTATCTATTACCAGAAAACATTGACAGTAAGTAACATGCATTTAGAGATAATTAAATGAACAATATTCTAGAAAGACTTTTCATTTTGAATCCTTAATAGAAATTAAATGCATTTAAATTTGGATATTGTTCATCAGTGTTAGTTTCAGAGAACCGAAGTGGCTTCAGAGCTCCATGTAAGTGGTAGTATATGGTAAAACCTTGCCAGTAGGTTTGCATTTAGTCAGTAAATGTTTAAGCATCCTGCTAAATGCCATACATTATGTACTTATCCAAGCCTTCAACATACAAATACGACTAAGACAGAGGTCATTTTCTCCAAAGAGCTGTAGTGTGATGGAGGAGACATTTATGTTATATTACTGTGCTTTGTGATAAATGCTACAACACAGATAATACTAAGGGATCAAGGGTTTAGAATCCTGTAATTCTAACAGGTGGGAAAGGGGAAGGTCAGGAAGTTCTTAGAGTTGAGCTGCACCTTGAAGGAGAAGTAGGAATTTCCTCAATGGAGTGCATATTCCAGGCAGAAGAAACAGGCATAGGGATTAGAGAGAAGTTGAAAGATTTGGGACAGGCAAGAAGTCTGGTATGGCTGGAGGATAGAGGAGATCATGGGAAGTGAGGTTGAAAGGTTGGCAGTAATGGGTCTTGCAGGCCCCATGTAGTTTATTCTATAAGGAACTGTTAAAAGAGTTTTAAGCAGGAAAGTGAAATGGTCAGATTTGCAATTTAGGAAGATGGCTTAGGCAGCAGTGTTTTTATAATGGTATTTGTGAAAGGAGCAAAGGGTAAGGTGATTTAGACTCCTTGACTCTTAATGGGCTACACCCTGTGCCTGGTACTTATATGCAGTTTCTCATTTTTTCTTTCCAACAGCCTTGTGGGGTAGGCATTGCCATTTTATACACAGGAAAAGTGAATATGGGAGATTTGAAGTAACTTGGACAGAATCATACCAAATAAGTAACAGAACTGTGATTTGAACTCAGCACTAATTTAACTGCAAGACTCCACTTGTGGTCTGAACTAAGGTAGAGGAAAGATAGAGGAGAGGTGATTAGGATGTGGAGACTACAGGACTTAGTTCTAGTTTGTTTGGGGGTGGGAGGGTGAATACAGATGTGGAGTCAAAGATAGTTTATGAATTTCTGGCCAGTTGTACAGCTAAGTGGTTCCATTAACTAGCCAAGAAGCAGCACATTTGTTTTTGTTTGTTTGAGGGAGGAGTGGGAAAGCAGAAGGTTGATAATGAGTTTAGTTGTAGACAGATTGAGTTTAGGGTAATATGTAGGTAGATATATCCAGCTGGCAGTTAGAATAACTAAGATCACTAATGCAGTGTCAACTTTGCTTTTTAAAGACACCATCCATACCTGGTTATACAATATTTATAAGTAAAAAATATTTTGTGTGAGTTTTTATATTTCCCCTAAATCATGAGCTAGCATTGTACTCCTATGTATAAAACTCTGAAAAAACCAGTTCTTTGGGGCTGGCCCCCCGGCTTAGCAGTTAAGTGCGCGTGCTCCGCTGCTGGGGGCCCGGGTTCGGCTCCCGGGTGCACACCGACGCACCGCCTCTCCGGCCATGCTGAGGCCGCGTCCCACATACAGCAACTAGAAGGATGTGCAGCTATGACATGTGACTATCTACTGGGGTTTTGGGGGGAAAAAGATAAATAAATAAAATCTTAAAAAAAAAAAAACAAAAAAACAGTTCTTTGGAAAAGTTTGTATTGGCTCATTCTTAAATTCCACGCTAATTTAGAGAGCTCAGAATAGAGGAAGTGTCCAGTCTAGTATGATTGACTTGGATTTGAACTCCACTGTAATGATACATCTTGTACAGTTTCATCAGAGTCATCAGTAAATCCAACTTGCCTTCATGTAGCAGAATGCAGACACCAGCCATGGAGAGTGCAGACACACACTTGAGTTCACAGATTGCAGTGAGGCCTTGAGCCCTACTGGCAGTTCCCAAAATAATAGTCCTGCAAAACGTACTCCCAGGGGAGTTCCGTAGTCGGATGAGATTGGGCATGACTGCATATTAGCACATTAAAGATTGTGAGGAGTCCTGAAATAAAGAAACCTTTATTAAATTCCATGTTCTTCAAACTTACTTGACCATGGAGTTCTTTTTTCACCTAGTGTCTATGAATGTCTGTAGAGCTAGTGTTCTGAAGGATACATTTTAGAGAGACTTGGCAGGACGCATGACTGTGACTTAATAATTCTAGTCTTTGTTTGCCCAGTCCGTTGTCCCTGTAATTAATGAGTTACCTCATTAATTTAATAAAGAGAAGCTCACTACTTGTTAAGGCACTCTATTTAATTTTCAACTAGCTGTAGTGAAAATTGTAAATTCAACCTACTGGTTTTAGCTCTGTCACTGAGATTTCAGAACAAGTCTGGTCCCTCTTCTGTATGAACCATTCAGAGAAAGTAATCATGGTTCCCTGAGTCTTCTTGAGAGAAGGTGAACCATATTCTATTTTAGAAAGATTTTCATGGAAAGGTATCAGATTTTTCTCTTTAAAGCTTTGACACATAGTAAGGCAAAAACCATTTTCATAAGTGAAATAACTTGTAGTATAATGATACTGAATAAGTGAGGTTATTTAATGGACAAAGGATTACCCTTTATAATAACGAGAGAAAGCTGATAGCTTTTTGACAGTTGGATATTAGACCAAATATAAAGATCAGATAGTATTAGTCATACATTGACTATTTGGAATTCATTTTACAGTGTCTGTTGTAAAAGCTATAGCTACAGTATGTCTTTCTAGGTAATGATCAATAATGGCTTCACACCAGATAAAAATGATTATGAGTTTTGTGCCAAAGTGGAAAATATGATTATCCCCGCACAAGGGCATTTTGGAATATCTGCTGCAACTGGGGGTCTTGCAGGTAAATCTTGCTATATTTTAATATTGAGTTTGTGAATTGAGTTTTATTGGGAATAGTATATTTTGGAGCTGTGTAGACTTGTTTACTTTTAACCTTTTAAAACTAGTTGTAACCTTCCCCTAGTCTGTGGCGCAGGTCATTTGGTCTCTTGGGACTGCTAATTCTCTACTTATATTCTGTAGGTATACAGCTGGCTAGAACTACAGAAAGTTGGCTGGGGCTGTATACAGTTGCCTGGGGCTGCATACAGTTATGTCAATTAGAGCTTCCGTTTGGCTGCTGCTTCATAGTGGAGACATATTTAAAGTCAAGGCTGTAAATGGTTCATTGCCAAGTGTTTTAGGATCCTAAGATTTATCACAGCACATTTAAATGAATGTGGTAGCCTGAGGAAATATTACTGGGGACTAAACTTTAAACCAGATATATTTACTCTTTTTTTCCATATGTGATGATAAATGAACTTATATTTGGTATTAATACCATCTTGTGTTTATATGATGCATTGTATATTTTTATTATTTTCACACAGGGTGGGAGGGAAAGAGGATAGATTGTATTTACCCTATTCTTAGATGAGTTTGCCAAATCTGGACTTTCTAAAGATCACAGGCCAGTAATGGTCAGACCAGGCAGGACTTGGTTTAGGTTTCTGACTCCTGGGTTCAGTGCTCTTTTATACTGCATGACTTTTCCTAAAGTTACTTAACCAACACTGTAGTAATACAGTTTTCTCTTTAATCTGGCTACATATATAGATCTCTATAATAGTGACAGAAAGCACAGAGATTGCCGCACAGTTGAAATTAATTGCTCTTGCTTTGTGGATGTGACTAGCCGGGATTGGTATTTTGGTTCAATGTTATGAGGTTTGATCTGGTAGGTCCCTGTTTTCAGCTTAAACAGCTTGAAATTAACTTTGTTTTTTAATATGATTTTAGATAAAACTGTTAATGTCTACTGTGTGAGGGGAATAAATATTAATGATGTATAGATAAAGTAATCATATTATCGAAATCAGGATGCTTTGGGAGTAAAAGGAGAAGTTGCTAGAAATGGCAGGACAACATGGGTAAATCAGGACTGTCCTGCTAAGCCAGGACAGAGCAGTGTCGTATTTGTAACAAGAAAGTAAGGCAAGAAGTGATAAGTGCTATAAGAGAGGTTTAGATACACATCGGTACAGGAAGTACATGAAGGAGAAGGTTTTGTCTTATTTGGCTGGGACATAGTCCCTGAAGATTTGTGAGAAAATGTGGGAGCATCTTGGTTCCAGGATTAGGAGTTTGGGCTTGTTTTGACCCTTCATTTGTTTGTTCATTCCCTTATCAGACATTTATTAAACATCTGTTACATGTTAAACATTGCTAAGTGTTCTGGTTTAGAATTTAAGTAAGTGAATTTTAGCTTATTTCTAATGTAAATCTTTTAGATGAATTTTTATCCCTAAGCCCGCAGAACACCATTGCCTTTACTAAATTAGAGCTAATTTTTGTTATTTCTCTTAGTGATTATTATTTTTTAAAGCAGTAGATATCTATAAAGTAAATTCACAACCATAAAAATAATCTATTATGGAACTTTTTCAGATTTTTTTTTTAATTTGTAGATGACCATGATGTCCTTTCTTTTCTGACTTTCCAATTGACTGAGCCTGGGAAAGAGCCAGTAAGTATACACATTTTTTTCAAATAATATATTTTCAATTCAGTGGTATTGCCTCATAGTTGAAAACTTGGGAAGACTGACTTAGATTCGGATCTCGTTTCTGCCAGTTCCTGCCGCGTGACCTTGTGCAAGTTACTTAACCTCTGTAACGCTCCATCTCTTCAGTGGTAAAACTGAGATGTTTGTACTGGCCCCCTCTTGACATTGTAAGCCTTAAATGAGACGTGCACTTCTAACAAGCCCTCAAAAAATGGTAGTGGCTGCTGTTATTTTTTGTTGTAATTATTAGTAGCAAGAGTAAATTGGCTATGATTTAAATAAGAAGTAACATTTTTATGTTAACCTTTCAACTCGTGATGGAGTAGTTAAAATGAGAAAAAGAACATATATTGAGGTTTATTGTTTTCTTACTTTTTTAATTTTTTTTTTAATGATCTATTCTTAAACTCCAAAAAAGCCTACAATGGATATAGAAATTTCAGTAAAAGAAAAAGAAAAGTATCAGGAGGAATTTGAGCACTTTCAACAAGAACTGGATAAAAAAAAAGAGGAGTTCCAGAAGGACCACCCTGACCTTCAGGGGCATCCTGGTGAGTTGTAGAAAGCTGCCCTCAGAGCAGCAGCAGTAGTCGTGGCCTTTGTGTGTCACTTTCATTCATCTCATCCTCGCTCTCTTACCTGGCACATTCCAAGTCCCTTCTGGAAACAATGTAGGAGCAAATCTTCAGTCTTTAAAGGGCTTGGAGATTGATGTTTTTAGCAGTAAGAGAGTGGCTTAGTGCTGTGTGCAGTGATGAGTACCGTGGGTGAACAGTGGACCACTGGAGGGTGAGCTCTGTTAGGATGGGGATTTTGTTTGTTGTGTTTACTGCTATGTCCCCTAAACCTAAAAAAAAAAAAGAAAAAAAAAGAGAACAACAACAGTGCTAACCTAGGAGTTGAGACTTAGTAAATATTTTTTTCAATGAAATCATTCAAGGCTTATTTCTTTCCTTTTAGTGGCACACAGTTACCTTATTAATGTAGAGTTAATACTTGAAAACTATCAGACTATCGTGAGAGTAATGTGAAGTGATTGTCTGGCTCTCCTTCTCTTACTACTCAATAGAATTCTGGACTTTAAAGGTTGAACATTTTAAAATATTAGTTTAAGCCAGTGTAATTAGGAACGTAAGGGTGCTACGTGTCAAAAATAAAACCTGTTAAGGCCAAATGGAGTGACTTTATATCATCTGCTAACTTTTATTGTCCGGGTCGTTTCCCATCAGCACAGTGTTCAGGGCTGTACTTCATGAGCCTGGGGCTAGCTTTCGAACTCTCCGTGTAGTACGTGATTCTCTAAATTATCAACAGTCTGATTCAGAGTTAATGAAGATAAAAATGAAAGATAAGTTTCATTCTTTGATTTGTTTTAAACATCACGTATGATTTGTGAATATATCCTGAAGTTTATTGCAGTAAGTGTTTGAATGAAATGCTCTATTTTCAGCGTGGTCAGGTATAAAAAGAAAATCAGCTGTTCTCAACTCCATTTCTTAGTCTTTTACGTAAGTAAAATGCACAAATTTTAAGAGTATAGTTTGATGAATTTTGACAAATGTGTATACCCATTTAAACCATCACTCAGATCAGTACACAGAATATTTTTATCACCCCACAAAGTTCCCTCACACCTCTTTCAAGTCAAGCCCCCCTCCACAGAGGCAACAACTATTCTGATTTCTATTACCATAGACTAGTTCATAGAGTTCATATAAGTAGAATATATTTGGAGGAGAAAATGATTTTTAGGTGAAAAAATTCAGACCTAATTTATCATAAGTGTTCAGCCACCAGAGATGGCAAAAACAAACAGTAATTTGGTGGGGGTAGGGCAGAAGGAGTAAAGGGGCGCATATGTATGGTGACAGATATAAACTAGACTATTGGTGGTGAACACAATGCAGTCTATACAGAAAATGATATATAATAATGTCCACCTGAAATTTGCGCAATGTTATAAGCCAATATGACCTTAATAAAATAATTTTTAAAAATCCAGTAATTTAATCATGATTGAATTAATTATTTGCATGTTTACTCTTGGGGAGATCATGGCACTGTGTTGATGATTTTCTAATTTTAGTATATGTTAATACTTTGGTCACTTATGGTATTTCAAAAGCTACATATGTGTAGATGATTCTAAAAATTTTAATTTGTAATTTCCATTTCAGCGGATGAAATATTTGAGAGTGTAGGAGATCGTGAGCTGAGACAAATCTTTGAAGGACAGAATCGTATTCATCTTGAAATCAAGCAGCTGAACCGACAGTTAGATATGATTCTTGATGAACAGCGAAGATATGTGTCTTCCTTGACAGAGGAAATCTCTAAAAGAGGAGCAGGAATCCCAGGGCAGCATGGACAGGTGAGTTTTGAAATGTGAAAATATGCCTTAGTTAGCCTTTGATGGAGAAGAAGTAGAAAAGAATAGGTACTGTGCTAAATGTTCCTGTAGAGTGTGAATTATTGAATGTCATCTTTTGTTTTTCCTCCAGATCACTCAACAAGAGCTGGATACTGTTGTGAACACTCAGCATGAGATTCTGAGACAAGTAAATGAAATGAAGTAAGTATACAAAAGTAGTGTCTGTTATGTGATATCTTTCTCCTAAATTCATGACTTCTGTAGATATGCAAGCATGTTCTTATAAGATTCCTGCATGAGAGTAAGAATCACGTTCTAGAATCATTTTATAAATAGGGGAATATAAAGTACAGGAACTTTTGATAATTTAGAAACTGCAAACATGTCTAAATTTTTTAATTGTTCTAAACTATAAAAGAAAAAAATGCTTTAGCATCTTTAAGAAAATAGGTTTGTCACAGTTACTTGACAGCCAGGAATATTCATACATTTCTTAAATATAAAAAGAATGTGGATAATATATAACAATTCTATAAAAAATACTAGGAGAATAAGCGTGCATAGCGTTGTAGGAGTGTAATACAAGCATACCTGATGCAGGAACTTCTTTTTGATGGAATGAAATCATTTTGAAGGAAATAGACTATGTGTGACTATCTCCTTTTCATTCCATCTTATACCCCAAGAGAGACTGAGACAAAGAATTGGAGCAGAGAGGAGATACTATGTCCTTGGAACATTGATAAGTTTCTAAAAAGGCTTCAATTATGCAGATAATTAACAGCTTTCAATGCCTGGAGCAGAGAAACAGCCCAAGTGTCACATTTCATAAGCTAATACTTGAGAGCACTGCCCAACCAATACAACCCTTGACAAATAAGAACGTCAAGGTGAGTTCTTTAGGACTGGAATATTAAACAGCATTAGGTTAAACAGAAGGTGATAATATGTAACACCTAGTGATTAAGGCAACCCAACTTGTAACTGCAAATTTCTATTTCTTTCAGTTGTACTGTTTGGCATATTTAAAAGTCTTAAGGTTGTAAACTCATGATTAAAATATTTATGATACTAAATGAATAGTTAAATTCTTTTAGAAATAGCCTGGATCTTGTAACATTATTTTTTTAAATCTTTATTTTGATCTAATTTTAGACTTCAGATGTTGTAAAAACAGTACAGTTTCCATATATCCCTCACTCATCTTTCCCTAATGTTAACATCTTACATAACCATAGTACGATTGTCGGAAACAAGTAATTAACATTGGTATAGGACTATTAATTAAGCTAAAGATCTTATTCAGATTTCACCAGTTTTCTACCAGTGCGTTTTTTCTGTTCCAAGATCCTATCCAGGATCACACATTGCATTTAGTTATTTCTCGTGAGACTTCTGCAGTCTGAAATCTTTCCTTGTCTTTCATGACCATGACAATTTCCAAGAGTGCTGATCAGTTATTTGGTCCAGTGTCTCTCAATTTGGGTTTGTCTGGTGTTTGCTCTTATCACGAGTACAACAGTGTATCGTGTTCATGATGTCGATATGTCTTGTTACAGGTGATGTTGGCTGTGATCACTTGGTTATGGTGGTTTCTTTGTTGTTTCTGTACTTTAAAGTTACTGTCTTTCCCTTGGTGGTTAATAAATATTTTGGGAAGGATACTTTGAGACTATGTAAATATCCTGTTTCACTTTAAACTTTTGCTCACTAATTTTTAGCATCCATTCATGTCTTTTCTGAAACAAGAATATAGTGTTTACCAAATGCTTATTTTCCATTCCTTCTACATTTATTTATTGTAATTCTATAAGGATCAGCTATCCCTTCTCCCCTATCAGTGTGGACTCACGGATATTTATTATATGAGTTACAGTCCAATACTGTCGTTATGTATTTTGTTGCTCAAATCGTTCCAGCTCTGGTCATTAGGAACTCCTCCAGGGTGGCTTCTGTGTTCTTTCGGCAAGCCCCATCTTTTTTTAAACATTTCTTTACTTTCTGGTACTACCCTATGGTTCAGTCTCATCTTGTATTTTCTCTGCCTTCCCTCTAGAATCAACCACTTCTCCAGTGAGCCCTCATTCCTTTTATTGGAGAAAGGTGTTAAGAAACCAAGATCTGGGCACTAGATCTGCTCCTTACTACTGGGGTGCCACTGCTTCTAGGCCCTCTCAGTGGACAGACCTGGGGAATACATGAATGTATACTAACCCACACATATTTATATTTTTGTAGCCCTCAATCTACATTTGTATTAAAAAACCATGATTTATCCAGATACTTTGGATTCCAGTTGGACTGGGCTGGACTGAACACTACAGGGTTGATTTTAGCCTTACTCCTTTCCCTATTTGAAAATTCTTTCTCCAACAGGGTCAAACCTGGTTTTTATTATCTATAATGTATTTACTTATTGGTTCAATTTTAGTGTGCAAATAAAGTACACACAAAGTGGTTTCAAATTGTTAACCTGTATTCCTGTGAGAAACACGTTTACTGACAGATTTATGTAAAGTTCCTTTTTGTAAAGTTTCTTTTGCTTCTAGCCTTACAATATCTTGCTCAGACACCATTTTGCAGATAGTTTAGTTCTCTTCTTCCCCACTCATTTCAGTCTGGTTAGGGTATTCATTTATAATACAGTTAGGTTCTTTGTTAGTGTTTGTATTCCTCCTACATCCCAGTTGATTTTGATTGTTGATATTTTGGGTATATGAAGGGTGTGTGAATACTGTGGTTCTAAGAGCCAAAATATGTATATTCATTGAAGTATTACTCCTTCATAACTACTACCCCATTCCCATGGTAACCCATCCCATTAATTTCTGGTTTGTTCTTCCTGTATTTATTCTGCACACGTGTATTTTCTTAGATCCCTTCTTTCTCATGTGAATGGCAGCATGCTCTAGATGCTCTTTTGTGCTTTCTTGTTTCTCTTAACAGTAATACCAGAACATCTTAAGATTCAGTTAGTGGTTAGTAAATCCTAGCTATCCAGTTGCATTATCCGTGAAAGCAGTTACTTAGGGTAGTTAGCAATCCTTGTAAGCTCCCACTTATTAATTGAGAACAAATGTCATGCATACAATAAGTTAGTGTAAAAACTGAACTCACATTTCTGAATTTATCCTCTAGAACTTTTTCTTCAGGATTAAGCTTCAGAAAAAAATGTAAAAAGATAAGAAATATTTGCCTTTGATGGAAAAGGTGGTTTGTGTCTTTATGAATTTTCATATTCTTAGGGAATCATAGAATTTTTTTTAGCAGAAACATGTAGTTCAATCCCCTTCAGTTTACAAAAAGAGAAAAAAAAAGGCCCTGAATGATAAAAGATCACAATATGAAAACAGTCAGAACTAGTTCTCATTATCTCCTCACTTTCAGGGCTGTTTCTAGCAAACCATAAAGCCTTGCCAGTTTTGGTTTTCATTATAGCAATTTTCAAACATACAAAAAAGTTGAGAATGATATAAGAGCCCTCCCTCATATCCCCATCGCCCACTTTCAACAGTTATTAGTAACCAGATGTTGTCAGCCTGAACCGTTCATTATAAAGTGCCCCCATCAGTCTCTCCAAGTTTTAGTAGCCCATGATGGCCATGCCTGAAATCCATTTCGTTAGAGGTTGAAGAAGAGTTGACACTCTCTTTCTAAAATTCCCTCTCCAGGGCCGGCCCTGTGGCTTAGTGGTTAAGTGCGCGCGCTCCACTGCTGGCGGCCCAGGTTCGGATCCCGGGCGCGCACAGATACACCACTTCTCTGGCCATGCTGAGGCCGTGTCCCACATACAGCAACTAGAAGGATGTGCACCTATGACATACAACTATCTACTGGGGCTTTGGGGAAGGAAAAAAGGAGGAGGATTGGCAATAGATGTTAGCTCAGAGCCAGTCTTCCTCAGCAAAAAGAGGAGGATTAGCACGGATGTTAGCTCAGGGCTGATCTCCCTCACAAAAAAAAAAATAAATAAATAAAAAAAATAAAATTCCCTCTCCGTTTAAAAAGAAGAATTTCTCTCATTACTTGTCTGTTATCCCTAAATAGTTCAGGAAAGGCAGAATAAATACTTGATTCTTTCTCCTTGTTTTTCAGAATAATGAGTTGGGCCCCTGGCAACCTCCAGTGTTAAATGATGAGGTAGTGAGAGGTGATTTTTTTTTTTTCAACTCATGGATTTTAATGTATTTTGCTATTTTGATCCACTAGTCTTTATAATTGATGTTCAAGTTGTTTGCTCTTTGGCCTCTAGCAGCCCCTACCAGTTAGCTTATGTGCCCTTTTGACACAACGCCAGTAGTCGCTGGCAGCTTCCTTCCTCTCAGGTGTGAGATTTTTCAGGCTTCTCTTGTACATTTCTGTCCCACACGTGGCAAAAGGCATTTTTCTTTGGACCCTGATCTTCTAGTGGGAAACGGTATTTGTAGACAGTCTAGTGCTTATTGCTACTGGATTGTCATTGCTTCTAGGCCTTTTCAGTGGGCAGAGTTACAGATGCTGTTTGAGCTTTGCCATTCGTATATGTTGGCTTGTGTCGTTTGTTAATTGGTTATATTTTTTAAATGTTGAATTCAAAGTATAAATGTTCTTTTTGGTGAGTAGGCAGCATTTAGCATTTCATGTTTACCTTCACCTAATTAATGAGTACCTATTGCATTCTAGGTACTGTGCGAGGCATTTTCACATGAATATTTTCATATTCTTCTGGGACCTTGCTCTTAGTAATCCTCTTCTGTACCTCCAGCCTATCCCTGTAATGTAATATTTAAGCTGCTTAGCAATTTTTATTCACTCTTGATCATCACTTATATCATTCAAAATATACAACACTCTCCTCAAGCCCCATAACCCAGCCCACCAGTGCCAGTCTGCCTGGGAGATGACCTTGTCTCCTCCTCTCCGTTCTGTGCTCCACCCTCCCTCCCCACACTGTCTCCATCCACTCAGCTGTGTCCAGGCCAGTCCTGAGCTCTGGATCAGATTCTCTCTGCTTCTCTGACCCTTGCTCTGTCAGTGGTCCTCTCTCCATCTTCTACCTAAACTTATCCTTCAGTGCTACTTCTTCCATTTATAAAAGGGCTTGCTCTTCCGTTATTTAAAACTAATCAAAACACACCAACCTTTAACAGACCCTTTATATTCCTTTTCCTGTTGCTTCTCTTTTTCTTTCCTTTTTAGCTAAGTTTCTAAAAAGGTAGACCAAACTACCTCTCTCCACTTCCAGATCACTGTAATTTGTCCTCATACCACTAAACCATTCTTTGTGTAGTCACTCGTGCCCTAGTAATGAATACCTTTCAGTCCTCATCTTTCTGGACTTTCTGTAACAGTTGACACTTGTCCTCACTCCCCCTGTCTTGAGACATTTTCCTTTCAAGGCTTCGAGCATACCTTACACCGTTAGTGCTCTTTGGCCTCTCAGCTTCAATTGCGTTTTCTTCATTTATTGCTCTTCCTTCCATCATCCCTTAAAAGGTGTTTTTCTCTAGGGTTCTCTCCAGCCCTCTTTTCACTTGACCTATTCCCTAAGCTAGGTATCCCCTCTTTCCACCACAATCCCATCCCTGTAGGACCCTCCTTATTCTTGAACAGCTCAGCTCTCAGGGCCTGGCTAAGTGAAATGCATCTTTCTTTGTAGAACTCTACATGTGCCTCTATCACATTGCTCTCCTGCTGGACTATTTATTAGTTTCAGCGGGGCAGGAATTATATTTTTCTCACACTGTTTATATCCCTAAAAGTTGCCTGGCTCGTAACATGTACCAGATAAATGTTAGCAGAATCAACAGGCAAATGAATAAATTAATTAATAGGCACTCTTTAAGTGACTCAATCTTTATATATTAAAAAGACATTTATAATTAAGCAAGTTCATGCTTCTGGGAAGCAGTATTTTTAAATGCAGATATGTGAGAAAGTTATATATTCTGGGATGCTTCATTCTTGGTAAGTATTTTAGGTATATTAAAATGTAATTCTTAATTTGGATTGTGGTGGAAAAGCTTAGACTCGCATGAATTGTTTTGAGCATGTGCGCCATTAAAAGAAACTTCAATCAACACAGGTCGTTTATTCAGACAGCACTTGAGATATTTTGTAGCAAATTTTAAAATATTCATTGCTCATATGACTCAAATATAATTTTTTAAAACTTTTATTATACTTAACATTCGGCCTGACATACTGTTATTTCTAAGTAATTCTAATATTTGAGTTCCTTTTTTTGTTTTCTTCCAGCAAAGCTTTTACTTTTTAAGCTAAATTTTACTGTAAGGAAATAAGTTAGATAACTTATTTATTCATTCATAGAATTGAACTATAACTGTTGAAGGCACTGTCAGGAAATCAGAGACATCCCCATTCTCCGGGAGCTTATGTTCTATGAGGGAGATACTCCATATGTACAGATACCAAGGAGAAAAGTGTGTATTCGTGTGTGTATGTATGTTTAGGGAGTGGTTGCTTTTGGCAGGAGAGGCTTAGGGAAAGGAAAATGTAGAGGAAGGGCAGCCATTTGAACTGGGCTTTCCATTTTAGACCATTGCTCTTGGAAGCAGGGGTCGGGACCAGAAGGAACATCACAGACACAGAGGCTTAAAGTGAAGGATATTTTCAGGGAATGGTAGGAGCCAAGACAGATAAAAGAGAGTAGTAGGAGACAGAGTTAGAAAGATGAGCTGCAAAGAGATTATGGAGACCCTTAGGATTTTTAAAGATCTGTTGCCATTTTCAAACAGAAACAGAAGTAGAGAGAATAGTATAGTGAACCTCTGCTTATCCATCAGTCACTTAACACTTGTGAACTTTTTACCAGTCCATCTTATTTTATCTACCTCGCCAAAAAATCCCCAGACTTGAAGATATTTCATAATATAAATGTTAATAACGTAAACTATTTGCCATTTATAGAGCTTTTTTTTTAAGTACTCCTAGGTAAAATAACCTGACATTTTCAGGTAAATTGAAATTCAGCTACATTCCTTTCTTTCTTAAGGTTATTTTTCTACCATTATTTAAAAAAATATTTGTGGGGCTGGACCGGTGGTGTAACGGTTAAGTGCGTGCGCTCCACTGCTGGCAGCCTGGGTTCAGGTCCTGGGCACGCACTGATGCCCCGCTTGTCAGGCCATGCTGCGACGGCATCCCATATAAAGTAGAGGAAGATGGGCACGGATGTTAGCCCAGGGCCAGTCTTCCTCAGCAAAAAAAGAGGAGGATTGGCATGGATGTTAGCTCAGGGCTGATCTTCCTCAAAAAAAAACAACAAAAAAATATGAGTAGTCTCTTACTGTCATGCTTACAGACTCATCTCCAAAGGGCATACTCAGGCTAGAGCTCTTTATTCTTTCATCTGAATCGTGGAATCACACTTGACGTGCAGATTATGTTCTGAAGTCAGTGTGTAAGGTAAAACGTTGTATAATGTCAAAATTACTCTTCAGAAAGATACCACCTTGGAGACTTCCACACCATTGCTCAGTATGACAACCAACCAGTTTTTCCTTCATATTTGCAATGGATAGATGCTTCTTTAGTTGGGTTCTAGTTGAAGCACTAGGTTTGTATATAGGGGCTATCTGATAGAACTGCAAGGAGAAATAGAATTACATTTGTCTTAGGGGTCCTCAAGACCACCCCTGGGTTCTGTGATTTGCTAGAAGTACTCACAAATCTCAAAAGCTGCTACACTCACAGTTATGGTTTATTACCCAAAAAAGGATATAGAATAAAATCAGCAGAGAAAAAAGTGCACGGGGTGGAGTTGGAGAACCAGGCCCAAGCTTCCAGTAGTCCCTCCCAGTGGAGTCGCTCACATAGTCCTAGTTCCTCTCAGCAGTCATGTGTGACAACATGCGCAGTGTTGCCAACCAAGGAAGCACACCCAAGCCTTAGTTCCTGGGATTTATCAGGGGTCAGTCACACAGGCATGGAGCACCCATGTGACTGTCCTTAACTACTCAGTCTCCAGTCCCCCTAGAGGTCAAACTGATACAGCATCCTCGGCCCCAGCCAAACAAAAACATATGTCACATTGTTAGCGTAAACGGTCTGGTGTGGCCCAAGGCCCTATGTAGACAAAGACACTCTTAACAGGTGGGGTATTTCAGGGGCTTCGAGTTTACCTCCCAGGGGTCAAGGGCCAGTCCTGAAAACCTTTGGAATGTGCAGGGTTTGGGCATCCCAGGCCTAATGGGTTAATCCTTTATTGTACTTCATTAAACACCTAGAAAGGTTTAAGTTCATTGATAGTATCATCCATTATGTTATTCAATATCCGTTTATAATGTCGGTTTTAACACAAATTATTTAACGTTATTCTCTTATGTGGTTATTCTTATGTAGTTAGATGACCTTTAGTGAAAGATAAAAGCATAATGTTAAGTTGTAGTTTTATCAATTATTTTCCAATCTTGAAGACAATTCAGTTTTTTAAAATATAGATTTTCTTTATCTTTTTTTTATGATCTGATATATTGGGCTTAGAAATGTATCTAACCATTTGAAATCTGTGACTGAAAAAATCATCCTTCTGGTGATTCCATTGTCTAAAGGGATTTCCTATTTCAGGAATTCCATGAGTGAAACTGTCAGACTGGTCAGTGGCATACAGCATCCCGGCTCTGTAGGGGGAGTTTATGAGACAACCCAGCACTTCAACGACATCAAGGAGCACCTTCACTTAGTGAAGCGGGACATAGATAACTTAGTGCAGCGGAATCTGGTGAGCTTTTCCCTCTAGTTTTCTGGTTATCACTGTCTTCTTTAGGAAAGGAAGAACACATATTGTACTGACAATATTGTGATTTTTTAGTTAATCCTAATGCTCATTTTTAATATTCAAGGTAGAATTATTCCATATGATCCAAATGTCTGTATGTTCCCCATCATGCTTCCATAGTCTGTTGAATAGATTTTTTTTTAATTGTTATGCCAATTAGTGGAGCTATCACAGTCTCAGACTTTTTTTCCCCTTGATTCTTTCTTTTTTTTAACTTTTTATTTATTTTTTTTATTTTTATTTTTATTTTTTTGTGAGGAAGATCAGCCCTGAGCTAACATCCATGCTAATCCTCTTTTTGCTGAGGAAGACTGGCCCTGAGCTAACATCTATTGCCAATCCTCCTCCTTTTTTTCCCCCAAAGCCCCAGTAGATAGTTGTATGTCATAGTTGCACATCCTTCTAGTTGCTGTATGTGGGACGCAGCCTCAGCATGGCCGGACAAGCGGTGCGTCGGTGCGCGCCCAGGATCTGAACCTGGGCTGCCAGTAGTGGAGTGTGTGCACTTAACCGCTAAGCCACCGGGCCAGCCCTCCCTTGATTCTTTTCTCTAAGTTTTCTTCAAAGAAAAACAAACAAACATGGCTCTTGTTATTAGTAATGATATCTTTAAACAGCTTTGAAAAAGGTAAACGTCTCTCTTGACAAACCCTTTTGTTAAATAAACGCTGGGTAACTCATATTTCTGTCTAGGCTGTTAAGGAAGGGCAGATCTAACTGTGCTGACTGATAGCAGCTTTCTTTAGGCAATATTCTTTTTTCCAGCTACTTTTCCTGTCTCACTTGGTTCATTTTTTTAAAAAGTGTTTTTTGTTTATCTGTTTTTTGACTTTAGTAGGTCTTCTTTTTAGTGTAAGCCCTATCTACATTTTTGGAGATTGGTGATAAATATTAAAAATAGGTAACATTTTTTCAAAGTTTAACATGCGTAAGAGGCAGTATTAGAAGACAGACTCCTAATACTTTTAAATTTTTTAAGTTTTAAGTTTTTCCTTAACTTATTCCCTTAGTTCTGTTTGAGGTTATTTCCCCCCAACATCAGCCTTTGTTGCAATGGCCAAGTTGATGCTGTGGGTGGTATATATGTCCTGAAGAACTTGGTCTTAAAAGCCATTCTGTCTGGATACCTTGATAAAAATCTTTGTCCTTGGTATTTAATTGCCTCCTTGTAGTAGAAGGAATACTCATGGAAATAGGAAAAGAAACATTTTTGAAAATACTCATTACCGGGGGCCAGCCCAGTGGTGTAAAGGTAAAGTTCTCGAGCTCTGCTTTGCCGGCCTGGGGTTCACTATTTCGGATCCTGGGTGCTGACCTACTCACCTCTCATCAAGCCATGCTGAGGCAGCATCCCACGTAGAAGAGCTACAACTCTACAACTATGATATACAACTATGTACTGGGGCTTTGGGGAGAAAAAAAAAAAAAGAGGAAGATTGGCAACAGATGTTAGCTCAGGGCCAATCTTCCTCGACAAAAAAGGTTCGAGTTTGTTAATTAGAAAGGCTTAAAAAAAAAAAAAGCTAATTACCAATGTTGAATGCTGGGAGATTGGGGAGGATGAGAGCTGAGAAAAAGCCATTATATTTGTCATGTAGTTCATTGGTAGGGTAACCATGTAGTTGGCTGCACCAGAACGCTTTTGAGAGTGAAAGTGATGCTATTAATAATAATTACTCTAATACAGCAAGTGTAAACTGGAAGTGTCCAGGGAATTCATGGTCTGTGACCTTCAGTGACACTAAAATCATTGTCACTGGTGAAGATAGGAGCCAGATGACAATGAGTTAGTGACTGGACAGTGAAAAGGTGGAGGCTTTCCAGTGTCAACTACTCTTTCAAAAAGTTTGGTAGTAAAAGTTTAAGGGGGTGGAAGATATTTATGGGATGAATAAATGAAAATGCTTGAGTTTAGACAATAGACCGTGAGTTTTATAAAGATTTCACATTTATTTCTTTTTCTAAAATACTGATTTGACTATTTGTAATAGAAAGTTCTTTGCCTTACAGCCATCAAATGAGAGAGCGAGATGCCCAGAACTACCACCATTTCCATCATGTCTATCTACGGTGCACTTTGTTATATTTGTAGTGGTACAAACGGTGTTATTCATTGGTTATGTCATGTATAGGTAAGTCTCTAAAATTTAACCCAACATTTTTCTGTATTTAATTTTAAATACTCAGTGAGTTATCTATGTCCATAATAGAACTTTTGGTACATATAAAATTAGGTTTATACAAAGCAAATATTATTTCTAGTCTCTGTCAGTTGACACAGGAGTGGATGTATAGAATGTATGCTTATCTTAATGTGTTTTATACTTCAAAAGGCATTGCATATTTTAATTTTAAGCAATCCTGTTTTCTTTCTGAAGTAAAGTCTATAGGGCTTCTTTCAGACTTTTTCTTTCTCTTTTCCCTTAGGTCTCAGCAAGAAGCAGCTGCCAAAAAATTCTTTTGACCACCATTTTCGTATGTGTACATCATGTATGTATGTACAAAATGTTGTCTTTTTGAGGGAATTTAAGTATTTAAATTGCTTCATAGTCTAAATTATTAAATTTTGTATAAAAGAACTGTCTAAACATTGATTTGCAGTGAGAATAAACCTTGAAGACAGCCACATGTAAATTTGTGCATAGTACATAAATCTATTTAAATTTCAGTGAATTTCTGGCCAGTAAAATATAGCCACTGAACAGAATATTGATAAATAAGAGGGTAAATAATAGAAAGTGGGGGCCACCCCCAGATGTGAAATTTACCCCTATGTCTTTGATGTTGGAGGTTTCTTTATGCAACATAAACACTTGCCCTCCTGCCACCAAAAATCTGACATCTAAAGCTCCCCATCATGCTTATTTTGTAACCAAAGTGTTTTTTGAGAGGTCAGAATTTCCTACTCTAAGACCTAATCCTGCAATCCTTTAATATAACTCCCTTTGAAATCAAAGAATATTTTGTCTGAGAGCATAAGGATCTGGAAAACAGACTTCAGAATGTTTATTGAAGTATTTTTTCCCTCTGATTATCAGTGATATATTTCACTTTTAAAGGAAATTTTGGGGGAAAATTAAGAGCTGCTCTTTGTCTAAAAAACCATTTAGGTGAAAACATTCCTCTGATAATGGTTTTTATGGGTATTTTGCCTCGTAATGTACTTATGTCATGATTGCTCATATTCTTGAATGTCTTCATTCCAACAGTGTCAGTTCAATATTATGAAAATAATTTTTGCATTTATATTTGTAATTTAAGGAACTTATTTCTTCCATTTTGTGCAGCATGTAAATTCAGCTCAGGTTGCATGTTCTGAGGATATTTTAGGTTCTCAAAACCTACCACTACCTTCTGCTTTACATCACTCCATGCGACCTGGTGTTGTGACTGCATACTCGTTTAAATCAAGGAGGCTGCAGTAGAAGCAGTGTTAGGATTTTTGAAGGCGAAATTTGAAAAATAGAGTTAATACTTCTGATTTTTCTTTTAATGCTAGAACTAAGGATATTGTGAAGGACTTGCTAGTAAGCTTAACCTTGAAATGTCAGACTGGAAGGAGTTGTTATAGTCTTTGTACATGTTGTTCTAGGTATTATAGCAACAGTCTGTAAATGACATTTAAAAATGCAGACTTCATTTTGTTTTCACAGCTGATGTAGACTTATTTTTGTTGGCTTCAAAATACTCTCTTACCTCTTTTAAAAGGCTAAAGTAGTTATCTTTCATTTGTCATAGAATCCAAAATAATACTGTTTTATAAGATAGTACTGTTTAATTCTTCCAAGCCTTGATGAATTTGCTCTCAAATATCCTTTACAGATTGGGCTAATGGCCCAAAATCTATACCAAGACTATGAAGAACTCTGCATTATAGCAATGCCTAACTAGTACTATGTATGCAAACAGTCCAAGCATTGCTTTTTAACATTAGCGTTTATCCTAGAACACTGAACGAGAATATTCTAATGATTACTTACTCGACTTCAGTCACTTCAACAGAGAAAATACTTCTCCGGTATTTTTCTTTTGTAGTGTTAACATTTTGAAATTCGTGTTTCAGAGACATCATCATCACAGAATTTACTCTTAATCTATGAAAAAAAATTAATACCTTCAGAAAAATGTTTAAGTTGTAAACAATGAAACTTGGAAAATCCTCTTGAGATAAAAGGCTGCAAAATACCCACTATTATAAAACCCAAGGTCACGTGTGCCTGACCTTATTAAAGGAATACCAGATCTATACAGTGTACTTTTTTCAGGCTAAAATTCAAGAGGAGACATTCTCATCATTCCTAGTACAAGTGGAGATCTCGGCTCTTATGAAAGAGCATGAATCTTTTTCCTTTTTTACTTAGTAATTTAATTTGTGTGAAAATCCCTCAGTAAAGCAGTTTGCATAGCGTGTTTATCATATCATTTGACTTTTGATTTATTTTCCTCAAAGTTATTTAAGTAGCTGATTTCTGAAGAAAATGTTTGCTCTGTGGAAAAATCAATCACTGCCAGGATTCTTTCATTTCTGTACTATTTTGTATAATGGAATTTGTTGACTTCTCTCACACCAGCAAGTATTTTACAGGTGCCTTGGATGAGAACAAAATTGATTTTAAAATTTTAGTGTAAGTCATTGTGCTTTTGATGCCACTTTTTAAAAGAAATGCAATTACATAATGGCTAACACCCTTATTTAATGTACCTATTTGTGTTCTAATTGTATGAATGTTTGATTCAGCTTGAAACTTGACTGTAAAGCCACAAACGATAAACAATATTTTGTTATGTATTAAAGGGATATCAGTGATTCTCAAAGTGTGGTCCTAGACCAGCTGGGTCACAGAGTGCTTGTTAAGAAGACAGGTTCTGGACTCTATTCCCATCCACCCAAGTCAGAATTCAGGGCTGGGGCTTCAGAATATCAGTTTTCAACTGGCACCTCAGGTGGTTCTGAGCACACTGATGTTTGAGAACCACTAAGATGGGGAGTGAAAAAAGTGTTTTGCTTTGTTGGTTTAAAGCTGAGCTGAGAGCATAATATAACATTTTCATTGTCAATGACATTAGCACATGTGCACTGATTCTTTCATACTTAAAATTTACTTAATGTTCTTTTTACTAAAACTCATGTTTATTAGCAACTACAAACTAAACCCAGATTGTTGCCTATAGCCTACTCTTGGTACTTGGATTGATGGCTTTTAAACTTACTAAATTATCCCAGATCATGGTCAAGCCATAAAAACTCCCATCTTCCAGTCTGCCTGCTAAAGCCTTTTGCTTTCTTGATTGTGATTTTTGTGACATTTTATCTCAGACAGTTGTACTTTTTGATAATTTGGGGAAAACAGAAATTACTTGAATAAGGGATTGCGTGACCCGCTGCATCGCGGAGATACAGTCTTTGCAAAGAACATAAGTAACAGTTGTGAATATTAAGGTGTGTTTATCTTTTCCTGTCCATGTGCTTTTCACAGGGAGATCATGAACAAATGATTATATTGGGGATTTTTTAATTTATAAGATCTAATGTAAAATCACCACTTGCAACTTTTTAGATCTGTATGTTGCCTGTTTAATGTATTTCTTTTAAAAGTTTAAAAAGATTTTCTATCCACTGTTAATTTCAATTGGACAACATTTTGTCAAGTGTTTTTTTCTGATTGTTATTTGATGCTAGCTGGAATTCAAGAAATGACATTGACCTTATTCAAATAAAGAAATATTTTAGTAAATTTCCTTTTTCCTTCATTGATCTTGGATAATACATAGTTTATTTTCCAAATAGGCCAGGATTTGTGATAGTATTTCATTTATCGTGCTATGTGCTCTGCCCTAGGTGGCTTACCACCTGTGGAGTCAGCACATGGAAGCATAAAAAGAGAAGTAGAAATGATAGGGATGAATGCTTTACCCTTGCTGATAATGAAAAATACAAATTAATTAAAACAATGTATTTGATATTCTTACCTTTAATAACCAAATACTGGTAAAAGTATAGTTAAGCTGGAACTCTTTGTCATTACTAATAGCAATTAAAAAAAATCTTTTAATCTCTTTGGCAAGCACCACTCAACCAAGTAATTCCAATTCTGAGAGTACATGTAGCATAAAAAGGAAAGAGTAGAGTTTTGGTGTCAGACAAATCTGGGTTTGAATCTTGGCTCTGCCGCTCACTAACGATGACCTTCGGGTTCGTCATGATACTTACCTCACGGGGTTGGTAGCATTGTAAAAGAGAGAAAGTGTTTTCAGAGAATGGTAGACTAAGGTAATGGAGCCCTCTTCTGCTATAAACACACAAAAACTGGATAAAAGATTTAAATAAATTAGATGAGTTTGAAAGAAATCAGAGGAAACAAAGCCTGATCAGTGAGCCTGCTGGGGGAGGGGTGTTAAAAACTAGACGGTAGTTAGGCCCTAGACACTAGTTGGACGTTATCAAGTTCATTTGGGGCAGTGGGGACATGGCGTTGCAGGCTGTAGTCAAGATTGGGGATTTTGTTCAGGTATGATAAGCGTTTGGAGGGGTAGCACCTAGTGGTTCCATTTCACAAATCGTGGGGTATTTATTTTCCCTTTCTGGAGGAATGAAAGATTCTACACAAAACAGCAAATAGTTTACTGGATGTCCAAGTGGAAAGACCATTGTAATAAATGAGGAATAAAAAGTTGTTAAAGATATGATCCCATTTTCAATGGAATTACCTGTTGGGGAGACGACGAGAGATTTGATTTCATAAAACAAAGCAATATCAGGGAGTATTCAGTTGCCACACTGGTGTAGTTACCACCTAACGGTCTCTGTAATGCTTGACATCCTCCCCCCACACACACACACATACACACACTCATAGTCACACTCACATACATGCGGAAAAGGACTGGACAGGCTGCTTTACAAACTGGCTTTGGAGTTTAGAATTGACACTCTCACCATTAATAGTAGTTCCTAATTCCTAATAAAATGGAATTTTAGTAATAGATTTTGTAATACACCTAAATCATTTAAGTAATAACATAATAAAATGGATTTTTATTTTTATTTGGTTTTTTGTTACTTTGTTTTGTTCTTTAAGAAATAATATTAATCCTCTGATTCAGACCTGCCAAATCCAAGTTGGCTGTAAGTATAGCCTTGGAGATTTCACTTTCTGACCAAAATATTATATAGGACAGATCTTCAACAGATTGTCCTTTTCTTTGGCAAATAAAAGTGTTTTTTAATATCATGAAATACCTCTGCAGTATTTTCTAAAGGAGAGTTGTGCTGAACTGAGAAAACAAAACAACAACAGTGAAACATAGGCTATAGCTTTTACTTTATCATCTGAGAAGTTCTATAAGACCTTATTAGTAACCCTCCTCAGTGGAGATGAAATATAGTTGATTGTAGATGGTAATTGAGAGATAATGGTTTGAATGTAGTAAGTTCCAGGCAGCACATCTAAAAGTGAAAGGAGCTAAGTATTAATGTACGTTCTCAACCAGAGCTCTGAGTAGTTTCTATTTCACCCTAAATCTTTGTCAGTCGTTCAGACTGAGACCATTTTAGCAATGTTTTTAAATAGTTTAGTAAAAGAGAAGGCAGATCTTAAAATATATAAAACTAGCATTTTAGGCAAAAATCCAGATTATATAGTTCTGTATAATCTGAGGGATAGTCATCATCTTCTGAGAGGGCTTATGCCTACAGATAAAACAATAAGCATTGGTTACAGTAGCCTACATCTCTTCCCTCTGCCCCACCCCCTCCTGGCGTGCTTTAATTAGAAAGATACGTAGATTAAAGTCTTAGCCATACTCAATTCCTCCCTTGACCTGAAGGAAACCACGGCAATTGAGAATCTGCTGTATTGCAAAACATTGTCAAAACCTTTATCCAAGTACACCAGTGAGCTTAAGGAGAGCTCCCAGGAGGTGGACTGTATGTAAGAGAAAAAGGTGACCCCATTACACATCGGTGATTTAACTCACATTGTTCTTACCTTCTCGAGCGGAGCATTGACAGTGTCCAGCGCATCATTTCCACACAGAAGTGTAGCAGGTCAGTGCAGGAGAAGGCTGAGGTCATCTTCCACGTGTAAATTAAGGACCCGCTGGCTGGCCCTTCACACTTACCTCCGTTGGATATTTATGTATGGGACATGGTAACCACTGAACCAGTACAGAATTCAGACAAACCAAAAGGCAAATCCTTGCCTAGTGCTTAGAGTCCAATGAGATAAAATGATAGATCAAAGGATTATTTTTGCTTAATGAAGCATTTTGGGTTTGACTCTCACTAGACTCGGTTTTCAACAGGATGTTGTGCTCAAGGGCTGGAATTTGGAAATGCCACTACAGCCATATAATCAGTCAACTCTGGTTAATTTAATTGAAACAGGACTCTTGATGAAGCCCTGCTGTGCTTATAATTTAAAATTTAGAAATGGGTAGGGAGAGTAGTAGATAATGTGAGGGATTTTTTTCCCTCTGAAATTAGCTTAGTGTATTAATTCAGAAAGTAGTCAGTCGCATCTGATTGTATGCCTTAGTAATCTGAACCATCTGCCTCTCTGTACTAAGGAGTTCTCCTCTAATCCAGCTTACAGCCCAGAGACCACTCTTCTCTATCATTATGCCCTTGAATAGATGAGGCTGTGCAAAGTCCTTTGCTCTTAAATGTGTTGCTGTCGTTGAGGATATTTGGAGATTTTGTCTTTTTTTTTTCCTTCAGGTTTTGTCTGCGTTGGTTTTATTTTTCGGGGGCAGACACAATGGCTTTCTTTATGAAAACTATGATAAGTAACCAGGTAAAGAATTTAGGATTTGGTGGCGGGTCTGAAGAAAAAAAAGAAGAAGGAGGTACCTCTGATCCTGCAGCAGCTCATGGGATGACTAGAGAGGAATATGAGGAATATCAAAAGCAAATGATTGAGGAGAAGTGAGTACATGCGACTTCGTTTCCCTTTAAAGCAAGAAGAAATTAATGCTGGCCCTGCCTTCTTCAGCTCCCTGACTTCTTTCTCTTTGCTCTTTTGATGCCTTTCCTAATGTGCTCTTGGCCTCTAACCTTAGGGCAGCGTGTTCTGCGAAAGGGAACAATTTCCTAGCCTCAGCAGTGACTATGTCCTACTTGTACGAATGGAAATGAAAAATAATAGGTGAATCTGTATGTTGTTCTTAAAGCAGCTTAACACTTTCTGGTCTAGGCACATTTTCACAGACCTCAATTTAATTGTTCTGACGAAAATTTGTGAGCCTATCCTTACGGTCTTGCCGAAATTCACCCTCCTAGCAAGTAGAAAACTTTCAAATTGTAAGAATTCAGACTTTGCACCTGGAAGAGGGCCTTAAAGAATCTACAGTGCAGCCTTTTTGATCTTACACGTGTGAGAAAAAGCCTAGAAAGCACAATGGTGTCATAAGACTTGGCTTCTCCCAGACTATGAATAAATTAGTGGACTGTTTATCGTGAACATTTTAAAGATACAGAAATGTAGAACAGTATAATGAAGCTACCTATGACATAAAGTCGACAGCCAACATGTTGCCATGTTTGCTTATAGATACATTAGTTGTATAGAAGATAGGCAGATATCGTGAACCATTTTTAAAGTGAGTTACAGACATCATGATACTTCACCCCTAAATATTTCAGCCATGTACTTCCAAAAAATAGACATTCTCCTAGCTATGTAAAATGTAAGAAAAGAAATATTTGTACCATTGTAGTTGGGTATTATGGAATGTGAATATCACCAACAATTTTTCACTGCTGAGACTGCACTTTAAATAAGTGTAATCTATATATAATTTTTTTAAGTTTAAGGGAAAATTAATTTGAGTCTTTTAATAATCAACTAAGAATTGAAGCATGAATCTTGAGATTAAATGTTCATCATATGTTACAAAGGAAAAGTATTTCTTTTTGCCGCCATGGCTGTTTTGCTCACGATCAGTTAGGTAGCAGTTGCCTAAGTCCTGCTGCTAAGATAGGTGAAAAGGTTAATGACCTGGAGGAAACAAAGAAAGTGCAAAGGCCTACATTTAATGGAAACCTTGTCTAGTGTATTTTTTCTGAAAGAAATTATGGCTTATAAACTACCTAGGATGTATTACGCTTGGCTCTGCAGTAAATTAAAGTCAGTGGGAAAAAAAAAAAAAGTAAATGCAACTACAGAAATGATGTTGGTGCTAAGGTAATACTTGGGCAAAAAAAGCAGCATTCCTTGAATATTGACTAGTTTTGCCTATGACATGTAAAACACAGCAACTATCGTGAAGCGACAGAAGTAGAACGATAGCACCAAATGATAGCTCAAGTGGGCTAAGAAAAAGAAAATGGCCAGAGATTTAGACTATGCACTTGATCATGTAAAATATCATTTAATATGTCCAAGCAATAAATCTGGTCGCAGATATGGCATCTGTTTGATTAATTAATGTCCTAGTTTTCCTTATTTTTCTGTCTGGGCAGATCAAAGACCAAAATGCCCAAATGGTGTGGTCAAGCAGTGGACTGGAGTATTTGCCAACTACTCGGCTGTGTGTGTGTGTGTGTGTGTGTGTGTGTGTGTGTGTGTATGAATACTATAAATTACGTAGTCACTCAATTTAAGAACTAACAGGACAATGGGGCCAGCCTGCTTCCCCATGGCAAGTGGCAGGATTTCTGGTCCATTGCTTGAGTTTTCAAGAGCTTCATCACCTAGAATGCAACATAAAGAAGTAGGCATCAAAAATAGTTCATCACAAGTTACTTGTAGAGAGAGCTATGGACATTATAGTATATATAATAATTAATATTAGCAAATAGAAACCTCCCAAACCTGTCCTCATCATTTTAGAAAAGTTGTGGGATTGACTCTACTAATTGTAAACTAAAAACTACCTAATAATGCACTCTACCACACATTTGTTTTTATTTTACTTCTGTGTTCAGATTTTTTTTTTCACTAGTGGTAACATTAGCACTGAAAGAGGTCTATACCTAAATAGAATATTGTCTAACTAAAACAATAGTCTGTTTATCCCTCCATTTCTCTCAATTATATTAAAATGTCCCTTTACCCTAGTTACGGTACAGCAATTGCTACCATACCATTTGTAACTTGAACTTTGATATACATCACAGACCTAAATATAAAAGTTAAAATTATAAAGCATTTAGAAAAAAAACATAGAATATCTTTGCAAGTTGGAAGTATGCAAAGATTTCTTAAACATGACTCTGAAAGCAATAACTATAAAATTTTAAAATGATAAATTAGACATTGTCAAAATTAAAAACTTTCATGCGTCAAAAGACATCGTTAAGAAAATAAATAGGCAAGCCACAGCCTGAGAGAATATATTTTTAAAATGTACATCTGACAAAGGACTGGGATCTAGGATATATAAAGAATTCATACAACTCAATAATAAGGGCAAAAAAAGTGGGCAAGAGTTGAACAAATACTTCACAAAGATATACAAATGGCCAATTAGTACATGAAAAAAAAAAGCCTTATCTCATTAGTCATCATGGAAATGAAAATTAAAATCACACTAAAGTACAACTACACGCACATCAGAATGGCTAAAATTAAAAAGATTCAATACCCAATGTGGACCACAATGCGGAACAGTGGAACTCTTGTGCCGGTTGATGAGACGTGAGAGAGTATGACCACTTGGAAAAAGGTCTGACAGTTTCTTACAAAACTACACTGACTCAACCAAATTACCCTGTAACTCCGCAATTCCCTGCCTAGATATTTACCTAGAGGAAATGAGTGTATATGTCCACAAAAAGACTTGTACAAAAATGTTCATAACAGCTCCCTTCACAGTAGCCCCAAAATGGGGAATAGTCCAGGTGTTCCTCAACAGCAGAATGAAAAAACAAATGTGATATGTTCATATAGTAGAATACACTCAGTAATAAGAAGGAGCAAACTACTGATAAATAACTTGGATAAATCTCAAAAGTTTTTTATGCTGAATGAAAGAAGCCTTATGCAAAAGAATTCATAGTGTATTGTTATATTTATATGAAATTGTAGAACAGGCAAAACCAGTCTAGGGTGGAAAAAAGACAGTGGTTGCCTCTAAGACTGGAGAGCAGGAGTTGATTGGGAATGGGGGGGATGAGGGAATTTTCTCAGGTGATAGTAATGGTTTTTATATCTTAATAGGGGTTTGGGAAACACACAGGAACAGAAGCAATAGAAGAAGTATATATATATGTATGTATGTATGCATATGTATATGTATGTATGTAGATGTAGATGTATATATGAGATTTATTATAAGGAATTGGCTCACGTGATTATGGAGGCTGAGAAGTTCCACGATCTGCCATCTGCAGGCTGGAGACCCAGGAAAGTCGTTGGTGTAGTTCTGAGAACTGGAGGACTGACGGCGTAAGTCTCAGTGAAAAACAGGAGAAGACTGATGTCTCAGCTTCTGCAAGCAGAGGGTGAATTCTCCCTTCCTCTGCTTTTCTGTTCTATTCAAACCCTCAAAGGATTGGGTGATGCCCACCCACAGTAGGGAGGGCAGTCTGCCTTACTCAGTCCATCAGTTCAAATGCTGATCTCATCTGGAAACACCCTCCCGGGCATACCCAGAAATAACGTTTCATCTGGGCACCTTGTGTCCCAGTCAAGTTGACACATAAAATTAACCCTCACAGCACATTTAAGGTCTGTGCATTTAATTGTATGCAAAATTTTAGGAACTTTGCAAATTCCTAGGTAGCATGCGAATAATGCTTCATGTAAAGATACTTCGCCAAACCCATGAGCAGAAATCCCACCAGGCCCCGCATGGGGCTACACTAGGAACCAGAAAGCTCTCGGGAAACCACAAGCACTCTTTCCATCTCTTGCCATTGCTTCTGTCTCCATATGGCTGCTTTGTGCTTCTTTCTCAGCAGTCAGCTCTCTCCTGCTCTGTTACCCAGGCCACGTGGCCGATGGAAAATGGCGGCTGATGGCCTCCAAGTTCACCTGTTACAGTTGCAGCCACACTGCGAGTCTCTGGCTTTCTCAGTCCCAATCCCAAATTCCCAGACAATCCAATACAGTGAGAGGGCAGGGATGTGTGTATAAAGTTAGCTCCGAATGGGCAGCTGGGAGGAGAGGCGGTTATTGTGAGCTTCACAGACATCCCCAAAGGTGTCTGCTTCTGTCTGCATCATCATGAGCAAGGGAGTCCATTTCAAGCCAGTATAATCACAAATCCAATTAGGTCATCCCCAGAGCACTATGGAAATCTACCCTACCTTGCCTGGGGATGCCTCTTTCCAAACAGGAAAGGGAACGTTGTACCTAAATTAGGGTCTAGAGGGGGTGACAGTGAAAGGAAACAGATTTGTCTTACACCCCCAAACACCATGTGCCTCCAAAGGACCCCGGTCCTGGGGTCTGCGACCTGAATTAGCTCGCCTAAGAATCGCTCAGGGAGCTTATTAGAAATGTAGCTTCCTCTCCCCCAACCCCAGGGATTCTGATGCAGCTGAACTGCGATCAGACCCAGGCAGCTGCATTCTTTACAAGCACTGAGGGTGATTCTGATGCTGGTGGTCCCAGGTCATACTTAGAGCAACACAGTGAGGTCAACTGTACAGTAGGAGTAACTACCCTGCCCCTCTCCTGGGCTGTGTCCTAGATTCCCAGAACCAAGCAGTCTTGGGGATATAGGGGTGTGTCTGAGTTATGAGAGTAGAATGACAGGGAGGCAGATGTTTGGGGACTCTCCCATTTCCCAGGTGTCTGCAGGCAGTGGGGACTCGGGAGGCGTATCACAGGGTCTGGCTCCGCTGAGCAGGGGCTGGAACGTCCTTAGCTTTCTATGTCCTTTGATCCTTTCTTCTATTCTTTTACTTTTAGGATGGAAAGAGATGCTGCGTTTACACAAAAAAAGGCAGAGAGGGCATGCCTCAGAGTTCATCTCAGAGAAAAGTACAGACTCCCGAAGGTGAGACACTTAACACAGTAAACACCCAGTCATTTTTGACATAGTGAAAAATGGAGAATGTTATCAGCAAAATGTCATGCTCTTGAATATCTATATATACACATATATACTCACATATATACATACATATATATGAGTACACATATTGTATACATGTTTGTCTTAATCTTAACTGAGGTGTTTGATGTAGTGAAAAGAGCATTGAACTAGGAGTTCATAAAAACTAGATTCCAGTCATTTAACCTCTATGAACATTTCCACTCAACAAAATGGAGTTAATACCTATAGATGACATTTTTATGTAAATTTATCTAAAGACTATAAAACTTCTATATATCAACACACAGTGCGGGTAATAATCACAGCTGACATTTATTGAGCTCTAAGTGCCTCACGTGTATCAATTCATTTAATCGTCTCAACAGTCCTGTAAGGTCTGTTCTTAACAGTAGAGGAAACAGAGGCACAGAGAAAGTAACCACTCTCCTGCCAAAGGCCACCAGCGGGAAAGGCAGAGTCCAGGGTCGTGACTTCTGTAATGCTCTGCCTCTGTTTCACAGGAGCGATTGGCTCCTTCTTTTTGGAGACGTAGTAGTGATGGTCATCACTGAGCACTGTCTTATCCATCTTGGCGCTGGCTGAGAGGACAAATGCCTGTAGGCAGGCTCTGGTGGAGTAGTTGGTTTAGAAAAGTTGTGGGATTGACTCTACTAACTGTGAACTAAAAACTACTCAACAGCGCATTCTGCTCCACATTCATTTCTATCTCACTGGCTGAGAGGTGGGAAGAGGGTGTGCTGACGTGTTCTGGTGGGGCTTGGCTACACTGTTCCAGGGCTGGCGTCCCGGGGTGACAGGGGGCGCGGCACTTGGCTCCTCTGGCTCACCTCTCATTTCCCCCTACCTGGGGATCCGCTCAGCTCCACTAAATGACTCCACCTGCACCCTCTGGGCTGGGTGTTCAACTTCATATGGCAGAGGTGCACCCTCCCTTAGAGAACATCTTCCACCTGGGGAAGCCAAAGAAGAGCCCTCCCAAGTACATGATCCTTTCCTAAGGATGTGCCCATCTCCAAGTCAGCTGGGTGGTTTAGAAAGTGCTGCTAAACCAATTCCTTCAGTGGGTCGCCTGCACATCCCAGAAAAGTTGACTTCAGGAGCTACAAGCACTAAATAAAGGGAGAGAGCCCGCTGTCCATGCAAGGTCACTGCTGAAGTCACCAAAGAATTAAACGGCCCCGCCCTGTGGGAGAGATTGATCCCTAAGACCCAGAAACCCGGGTCTGCCCTCAGTGAGGGGAGGAAAACTCACAATGAAATTTAAACTCACTTTCTTTTGCGACCAATGAACATTGAAAAGAATGCCCTGCTTTTTGTGCCCCTTATCCAGTCCAGTACTTTCTCCCACTGTGCTTGCATTTTGGAAGAGGAGAGCACTTCTGAACCCTGTCCCTTCCACTCCTGTTGTCTGGTGGATTTCCTGAAGTCCCTAGGGTGTCACTGGCTATCCTCAGCAATGTGGCTTCCCCCAGGCAGGACGCCTGACTCAGACTTATGCTCCTGCCTCCCGCCTTGGGTGCATCTGATTAAAGCACCACAGATCTTGTTGGGAATGAAGCAGAAATTAAATACACACACGCACACCGGACCACCAGGCCATGTCTCTTCCACAGAGGTGGGGCCTTTAAGGATTTATTTTTGACAACTGTTCTGTTGTCCTTCTGTGGGGTGTAAGGAAAACTGGGTTTTATTTCTGGCTCTGCCTCTCAGACATGGTACAAACTCAGATGGCTTTTTAAAATATCTGAGCCTCAGTTTCCTTATCTATAAAATGGGGGCAGTGATACCTACTTCATAACGTCTTTGTCTAAGATAATATAAAGAACCTAGTACAGGGCCTGACTAATGGAAAGAGCTCAGTAGATGGTAGTTCTAATTTCTGTTATTATATCTATTCACAGAAGTCTTATTTCTTGATAGTAACAACCAGGAGTCTTAAAGACCTTGGGTAAGCACGCTGATGTGTGTAAACGATGCAACAACTCGAGGTCCCTGAATCTCAAGCATCTGAGCTTTTGGTTGTTTTCTTCCTTAACGGCGAGTCAGTGGTCTTGCTCCTTTCCAGATCCTCAGGGGTGAACCTTCAGGCTTAGCAGCAAGGTTTTGATGCTCTTCAGAGAAAAAATAATTCCCTAATGTCTGAGCCAAGCTATGCTTTGGGGACAAGTCTTCCCAGCAGAAACTAGGGAAAGAAGAAAGACTTATAGCCATGAAATGTGCACATTCATATCCTCCCTGGAGAGGGACAGGCCCTGGAGAGTGACAGTGACTATATCTGCAGCAGCTCCTGCTCCCTAAAGCCAGCTGGGAAGGGGGCATGAAAAAGTCAATGAATTGTTAACAGTGGAGCCCAGGATTTTGCATTGCATGGGTTACCGATGCTTATATACCCCCTTTTCTGTAGCTGTTTCAAATGCGTGGTGCGTATGAGACCTCACCTGATGTTTTCACGGGCCCTGAAAGAGACCTTTGAGTTCATCTAAGACTCTAATGCCTCTGCCTCATTTTAGACATGAAATCGCAGCCAGGGGCTGGGGGAGGGGGTTGGGGGGCATTAAATAGCTCTGCAAAAACCCACAGCTATTGAGTGACACAACCAGGATTGGAACTTAGGCCTCTCAACCATGAAAGAGTGACTTACTCACAAACGGATTTGAACACAGCTCCCTCTGGCCCAGGTCTCTGCTCTTTCTACTCTTAATATTAAAGGTGTCCCAAAAGTTTTAGTGCAGTTTTGAGCTCCATGTGGCTTCAAACTGCACGAAAACTTTGGGGACAACCTGTACTGCTCACTATTTCAGTGAAGTGTCACAGAATCCCACCCCCGGCAGCGCGGGGACGTTGCTTTTCTCTCTCCTGTGTTGTCTGATGGCTGGACCGCAGACCTGTGAGTCGCTGACTAAATTCCAAATACAATCCAAATAAACAGATGAGAATGTCACTTGAGAGCGTTCTACACTGAATCCTTCACTGCAGAGTGGACTTTCAGATGGGGGCCTCCCTCGGGCGCTTTTAGACTATGGCTGCATTTTGAAAAAACAGACTCTACATACAGTGTTTTAAGAATTTGCCTCTGGTGGGAAAAAATACTAAAAATACATACTAATAATACTACAGGCTGCTTTTTGTAAAGCACATGGAAATTCTATTCCAATGCACACTATCCATAAAACAATAATTAATAGAAAGTATACCACAAAAAATCAACTGGACCATATTCCACTGTGTCCAGTTGTCACCAGATGTGGCTAAGGCACCCACCTCAATGCAGCACCTTGCATTTAAAGTCCAGCCCCACCCTTGGGCACCACCTCCACCTCCCACGGCTGTCACAGGTTACATGTTCCCCTCCCACTGCCCCATCGAGGCTCTGGGTGCAGCTGGCCTTTGATAGGCCCCGGTGCTAGAAAGGGGCGCTGGGAGACAGACGCATTTCCCAGGCCAAGATCAGCCCCCAGCCGGCGGCCTCCTCTTTCCTCAAAATAGTCACTCATTTTCAAGGCGGACTCTGGTGTCGCTGTGGAGCGCACAGCAGCAGCCGCCTGTGTGGGGACAGGAATCTGCGTCCCTCGCGCCCCCTGGTGTCCCCAGATGCAGTGGGCGCTGGCAGCCCCAGGGAAATGCACTGTCGCTGCCCCAGCAGAACTGCCCCGCGGGTGTTCTCAGCTCCTCGGGGGGCACTGTGGGTTGTAGCAGGGAGAGTGGTGGTGGCGGGGAACAGAAATAAATGCCTGGAGGTGATTTGTTTTTCTTTTGAAGCCCATTCTTCAGACGTTAAGGACCAGATTGTGCATTTTATTCTAAAGTGGTCGCTGTGCTAGTGAGCCTGGAAGGGCCTGCTGGGCCCTCCTAGAAGCAGCTGTCACAAAGCAGGGGTTGGCAGTGCCCCGGAGGGATAGGGCTGGGAGGGGAGCATCTGAGCAGCAGATCTTCCCATGGTGCGCCGGGAGGGAGAGCTAGAAAACAAACCGGTGTTAGCTGTCTCTGCAACAACCAGGATGGTGAGGGATTTTGAAATGACTGGCAGTGATTGAGGGAGAGTTGAAGGGATGGGAACATTCAGCCTTGAGAGGAAGTGACGTTGGGGAAGGTCATTTCCCAGGCCTGAATGCCATGCTTTGTTTCTCATACTGTATCAAGCCAACTTATCTGGAGGGGCTCATGCTGCTGGCTGTTATGAAATTGTATGTAACTCTGAGGTCTTTCTTTGATGAGGCAGAAGAACCCTTCATAGTGGAACCTTTAGAATGCCATCCGAAAACCACAATGGGAATTTAAGTTGTACAGGTTTTCTTCTCCTAGAGGCTCCAGTAGGGACCAAGGAGGCCCGGAAAGCTGGGCACTGCCATGTGCATCACTGTGATTGGGAAAGCTCAAGGCCATGGCAGTGTGTCCAGTGAATTGGAGGGAGAGGAATGAGGGGTGGGCTGGCCAGTGCTACACCCTTAGAGCGGCAGGGGAGGGCTGCCGGAGGCCTGGGCCAGCGAGGAACTGCTAGGCTAAAGATGGGGCCGCAATTCCCAAGTCGGTATGTACATCTCCTTCGTGGGGCTTGGCATCTTGATTACCGCACTTAATTGATTACTTATCTGATTACTGCAATTAAAAATAGTCATCATCAATTATTCAGCCATAAAAAAGAAGGAAATCCTACCATCTGTGACAACATGGATGGACCTTGAAGGCATTATGCTAAGTGAAGTAAGTCAGACAGAGAAAGACAAATACTTATGATCTCACTTATATGTGGAATCTAAAACAAATGGAACTCATAGATACAGAGAACAGATTGGTGGTTGCTAGAGGTGGGGGGTAGGGGGCGAGCGAAATGTGTGGAGGTGACCAAAAATACAGACTTCCAGTTAGAAGGTAAATAAACCCTGGGGGTGTAATGTACAGCATGGTGACTATTAAAAAAAGGTCATCAGAAGGCATCGGTA